TTGAAAGCACATACACATTTTAATTACGCCTTCTCCCTGTCTAAGACCACTTTTCTTCCTCCTACTGAGCTAAGGTTTGAGACCCGGAGATTGCTTTTAACCTACTTTCGTATAGTTCAAGACTGGGTTCAGGAAGGTGAAAAAGAGGAGTTCTCATTAGGAGGAGTCCTGACCAAAACAGGGTTTGCCCTCCCCTTTGAGACCGTGGCTTTGCTGGGGCTCCCTCTGCTCTGTCTGAGCTGTATTCCACTCCTGGGAGCTCCCGGTCATTCCCTTTGCTCGCCAAGGTGTCATGGAAGATGGCAAAGCTGGAGATGTCTCCTGCCTTTGCTAGGGTCCACTCTCAAGGTTCTTGTTATTACTGTTTTTCAATTTCCCACACCTGTTTCCCCATCCTTTTAAATTGTAATGATTTTTTTTTACTATTCCCTCAAGATAATACAGCATCATTTTCTTAATGATTCTTCTACTGTGTGATAAATTACTGGCATCCAACGTTTCATTGATTATAAATATTGTTTGATCCATTTGTGTATATACTTTCCCCATGTTTTGCATGATTTCCTGAGGACGCACTCCCAGAGCTGGCACGGTCAAGAGGAATGATGGCTTTTATGGCTGTCCATGCAATTCCATGCCAATGAGCTTGGCTTGGCAGGTTACAAGTATGACGAAAACAGATGTGGAGGAAGAGGACCAGTGGCTCTCAGAGAACTTTGAAACCCATGATTCAATCTTTTAATTTAATTTAAGGAATTTGGTGGCTTCTACACTTTTGAGAATGGTGGTAGGTTAAAAGCACTATTGAACATAACAGTTTTGACTTGGGGTGAGTTGCTGACAGAGCGAAGATGACATGAGAAAAAGTAGGTCCATTAGGAGACGATTAGAATAACTCCAACTCTGAAATGCTGTCAAGGTTGGCGCCTTGAAATTGTGAACGGCTTTTAAAATCACTTATGTTGAGGGCTTGGTGACTATTTTATAACTAAAATTTGCTTGCCACTGAGTTCTGACCTAATTTAGGCTTAAGTGATGCAGCGATGGCTCTGACTGGGCATGGTCAGCCCTTGGAAGTGAGAATACAATTTAATCACACAATCTGCCATTCAAAGGAAACTCCTGGCTAACTCGGCCCATGAGACTAGCCTCGCGACTGCGTGCTGAGCCTGGTTTGCTGCCTGTGGGGTTGGCACTGGCTCACAGGTCATCACAGTTGCCATGCAGATAGGTTTGCTTCGTCCACTGCAAGCCGTGTCCTGATCCACACAGAAACTTGGATCAGATCGAACGTATGTGTCTTTTTTCTGGACATACCAGTCTAATAGCCAACAACAGCTTCAGTTACATTTTACTTCCTCTGTGGTTTCCCTCAGCGATCCTTTTTCTGAAACTTATCGCATGCCTCTCCCAGAATTTTACAATCTGTGAATCAGCAGGAATGAATTTTTGCAATTGCCCCAGCCCTTTCATCTTTCGTTAAAACATGTTCACTTGTGTTAAGTTTTGAGCGTGCCTGAGGCCATAAATCCAACAGGAATCTAAGATCTAGATTGTGAAAAGAACTGCCTTCTCCCAGGACACCTTCATTTCCCCCAGGGGGTATTGTTACTCCTCCCTTTTATACAGATTTGGTCTTACTCTGGGTATTATTGGATGAATAGAAGAAGACAAAAGTGTATAGTTTTCATGATCAAAATTATGACTGTTTATGAAGACACACTCACGATCGAATGTTGCAAAACAGAAAGATACACAATTACATATAGGAAGATCCCAGTTTTGGAACCGCGATGAATTCAAAACCAAACATGTACATGTCTATAGGCATTAAAAAAAAAAACTAGAGGAAAATCCGTAAAATATTAATACTAGTTATCTCTGGGTAGAAGGATGACAAATAATTTGTATTAACTTAAAATCTTTAATTTTCCTGCATGAATGTTTAAAAATAATGATGTAATACCTCTATAATGAGAAAAAATAAAGATAAATAATATTTTTAAATCACAGAGAAAACAGGGTTCTTAAATACTGTGTTTCCTTGTGCTTGGTAGAATGAAAAGAGACACAGAATTAGAGGCAAGTGATGCAAAGCAGGCCCTTTTGCCTTTTCCCATCCCAGCTGCTTCCAGAAGTCGTCAATAAGGCTGCTACTGTCGTTCCTGAGGGCCCAGGAGTAGCCGGGATGGGAAGTGCCCAGCACCATCTAGCACCCATGGGTCCCTTAGATAGTCCAACAGTCTGAGTTCCTGCTATTTTCTTGGAGGGGAATGAGTATACCATTCTTTGAGTACCTACCATGTAATCATTCTAGAATCTTGTTTCTGAACGTTGGTTAAAGTGCAGTTCAGCCCACTCATGCTTTAAAACGGGAGCAGGTGGTAAGTGTGATAACCGACATGACAGGGTTATTCAAGTTCAAGTAATTTTTTCAAGTTTTCATGGGAAACTACGCCTTAAGGGGCCAGAGTCATTACTTATGGGGGTGCCCAGTGAGGAGTTCTAGCCTGTGCCGGCCCCTTCCTTCCACGTCCTGTTTCCCTCATGGCCTCTCCCTGGCTGTGCCGACTAGGATGTTGCAGAGTCCATTGAGGGCCCACAGATTTCCAGGACGAGGAGAAGAAGTCTCTTTGTTCCTGTTTTTGAAGTGAGTGACTCCCTTTTTACTGTGAGGCATTTAACACATCCTCTGAGGAGTCTCAAAGAACCAGCATTTCCTGCCCCATCTGACCACAGTGGGGCCTCTCCAGAATTCCCACAGCTTTCCTCAGATGTGAGGGCAGACCTGTAATAATGGCCATCCCAGCCTCGTGGCCACTCTGGCCAGGACGTCACTGGGCTAGGAGGCCGCCAGACTTACCCCAAGCAAGGCTGGGAGGTCGGGAAAGTGTGTCTCCTGCTTTCTGTGGGTCTTGCTTTGCCTCAACCCCTTCTGGGAAGGCTTTCTAGAACTAACTCAACACAAAGTGTGATGACAAAGGAGGCTTAAAACCTTACCTCACTCAGGATGTGTGTTTTAACTGGGAAGGAAGGCTACAGCCAGTGGAATCAGTTGTTAATTACGACCCTTCAGGCATCTGGTATCAGATGTGCGAATTGTTGGGCAGCGATAAGTGTTGAAAAGAGTCCTATTCCAGCTCTGAAATCAGTTCAATCATCCATTACTTAACAGTTATGAGCACCTAGAATGCATGAGGCACGGGCATGAGGAGGAACAGCACAGACACCAACTGGACCCTCACGGAGCTCCAGGCTAGCTCTGAACACAGCAGACAGAACATGATGACATAAAATGGGAGCCTAATTTTCTTTGGTGCCTTATGAAAACTAATTCTGTTTTATTTGCCTAGCAGTTGAATTTTACTCAGTTCTCTCTTCTTTTTTGCCTACTCAGCATGATTTCCTTTAGCAACAGCACCCTGATTTCACCTGGAGGCACCCCATTGCTCTTACTCACTGGCCTTGCAGGTGAAAGCGAACTGACTCACCTGGCCCCTAACCGCAGGAGAGGGCCTGGGACGGAGGCCCGGCCAGTCTGATCTCTGCATCTTCTTGATCATAACGATTGGTTCAGGCATGGCTGTAGGAGCCCCATGGATCCTAAAGAAAACCTTCGTAGGATTCCCTGCACCCTGTATCCCCTGTTACTGGGAAAAAAATAAGTTTCTTCCATTGGGTTTACAGGCTGCATAGAGCCTGCTTGAGAATGTGGCCAACACAGAGGAAAGCAGTAACAGAGATTTCTGGCATTGCTTAGGTATTTAGGTCTATCCATGGATTTTCAATTATATCATTCAGTATATAGGTAAACAGAGAGAGGAGGGAGGGAGGGAGAGAGAGAAGGAGGGAGGGAGGGAGGGAGGGAGAGAGAGAAGGAGAGAGAGATTCATAGATGTAATTGTTTTGTATCAGCCAGTTTGAGTTGAGTTCCTTTCATTGGCAGCTGAAGGTCCTCATTCATTCAACTGTATTAAACTTTTAACCTCGCAAGAGTTCCTAATCAAAAGAAGATGATGAACTGGTTGCTTGTCCACTCCCTCTTCCCCTATCTGATGTATATTTATGGAGTGACCAGTCAACTGCTCACAAACCCAAACTGGTCTGGCCAACTGGGCTTTGTTCAGGGTGACAGTGAGGAGAGCGGTCTGTGGCCCCAGCCAGGGCTTCTGGCGGTCCTGTCTCATTACACATGGCTGAAACAGCATCACAGCCCCCCTTTTAAAATTGGCATATTCCTTCAAACCTTTCAAGTTGTTGTTGTTGTTTTCCCCCTGCTCCCTCTCTGAAGGAAGGAAGGACATAGGTTAAAATTCAAGCTAGACTACAAAGGTGGTGGAAGAATGACTCTGACACGTCTCTCTAGCCTGTAGCTGTGAAGGACCAGTGTTTCCCTTCAAGCTTATTAAGAAAGCCGAAATGCAAGCCTTCCTGGCCTGGTGACGGCTCTGTGCTACCTAAGACACAAACGGATTTCTTTAATCCCCACTTTGAAATCCCAGTATCAACCATGCCGATGCAACACCCGAATGCGGTTGCTCTGAGAAAGGAGAGCAGTAAACAGCCAGGTTGCGGCACCAACAGAGAACGGGTCCTGGTCCTGCCTAAGCTTCATGAATTCCCCACCAAGAGCCCCATCTCGGGTAACAACCCCTGGGGGTGGCAGTCTCTGTGTTTTCACAAAATAGATCAACTACATGACTAACAGGGAACTGGGGAGACAGAAAGGTGTTTTGACAGCATCACACGTGTTCCTTCAGCATCGCGTTCTTGTCATTTTTGATTGCTCCTTCCTTACCCACTAGTGTAAGGCATGGACCCTCCAGAAGGAAGACAGAGTTGTATTTTCACATCTACATTCCATCTATACGAGTCCTCTCTAGGAAGGGCAAGTAGCAGATTTCCCCCTTTCATCACACACACCCCAACAATCATGCTCACATCCACAAATCTCTTGCCCTGTTATGTGCATAAGTATATAAACAACCCAAAGACATATATAAATAAATCCACGTATTGTTTAGGGGGTATACAGCTCCGTCAGTACACAGATGGACGACAGATGGATAGATGATCAATCTCAAAATAATTGACACACATATCTCCCAAACTCTGCTAAAATACAAGGCTTATTATAGTATAAGTCTTCACTCAATTACAAGTCGTAGAAGCTGCATTAGATTTAAAAATAGTTTTTGAAAAATATATATCCCAAATATTAACACTACCCTGGAATTAGGAAAACTGTAAATGGGATGATAAACTGAGGTACCAGCGGTGAGATAAGGCCTTTTAGTCTGGGACAGTGCTTTCTGAAATCAGAGTTAAGTGTGGTCCAAAAGACCGCTAGGAAAAGCGACTGCTCCAACGACCAAATCAGCATGTGGAGACACTAAAATACTCAGATCTGAATAAGGACCAACCCTAAAGATTAAACATTTATGCAGATTAGCATCTTTCAGCAGGAGCCTTTGAAAAGGGGAGACAATATGTGGTATGTCGAGGAAGGGGCAGTCAGGCTCTCTGTTTCTGGGGAAGCCTCCCTGCTCTCCAAACTGCACATTAAAGCAGCAGCGACCCAGCGAGAACAGACAGAAGACCCAACCTGAGTCGGAAGGAGAGCCTGGCTTCTATTCAAGAGCTTCCCAGGAAACCAGGAAGGACACTCTCATTAGGGAGCCTGCACATCACGAAGCTCAAAGCACCTCCCAGGAGACATCCAATCCGTGCTCAAGGGTGCCCTTCTGGAAGTGCAAACTTCAACCTCCCAGAATAAATCAGAGGGCAGCCATTGTTCAGGTATCACCTCTCTGCTTTCAGGATGAGGAAATGCAGTGTGAAACTTCTGGATGTTCTGCCTCTCCAAAGGGGTTGCTCCCTGCCTCTGCCTCCCCCCACCCCCACCCCCGGCAGAAGCAGGTGAGCTGAGCTGGTCTCCTCCCAGTGTATCATCAACCAGAGAATTACCGGGTGGGAGAGCCCCTGGTGCTGGACCTGACACATTTTGTTTTTCAATGTTTCAATGATTTTCTCTTCTAGTCCAGTGTTTTCAAAATTGGCAGGCCAGTTCAAATTTGGACCCAGCTGAAAGGTCGTCTTGGGGTCTCCATACAATTTGCAGTCTTTGGTAACTTTTAGGATTTCTATTTCCAGTGATTATCTTTTGTTTCTAGCCACCTGAAATGAGTTTTGACTTATATTTGAGAACAGTGAAAACTTTAGTCAAAAGGCGCTCACTTTATACAAACCAGATCTGATTGTCTAAATCCTAGACCAGTCCTAAGGTGGGTCTGGAGAGCAGCCAGCCCCACAAGTTGACCAGTATCCCTGGGGAATTGTCACCACAGTAGATTGTTTTAACTAAAAAAAATTTAACCAAGTCCATCAAGTGACATAAACTCAAGCTGATAAAAGTCTGCTGCCCTCAGATCCAATCTCCGACGGCGACGGAGTGTGGGGGAAACGGCATCCTGTGTCTTCAGGCTGACTCCTGCCCTCAGCACATCCCGCTTCTGCCGTGGCTTCCCTGGCTGCCGCTACTGTCGCTGCTGCTACTTCCAAAGAGACGGCTCCAGCAGCTTCCTCACAAGCACAGTCAGCTCCTCTTCACATTTTAGTGTCCTGGACAGAGGTTTTATCCTGTGAACAGAGGAGGAAGGAATAAATTGGGAGGAGAGTAGGGAAACTCAGACACTCAGTCTATCTCCTTGGGGATGCTAGATCAGTCAATAATAGTAATAATAATGCTGTGTGCCTGATATTGAGGCGGGAAGCCCCATAAAAAGACTGGCAGCAGGACCCCCAGGCAGGGCCACTACTCTCCTGACAGCACCATCCGGTTCCCTAACCCAGAGGCTTTATCTCACTTTTTGCCTCTGAAATGGCTTACTTACCCCTAAAATTCTATTGGTTCCCTGAGCTCACTCCTGATTGGTTATTTCTCTCCCTCCTGATTGGTCCATTTCTACAAAGCTTGTTCCTAATCAGTCAACTTTTGTTATACTTCATTTGCATATGATTTTGCAAAGTGTAAACTGGCAGCCTATAAAAGCCAGTGTAAACTTACAGACGGGGTCCAGAGCTTGGAGCGTTAACTCCTCTGGGCCTGCTGGAGTCAAAGCCTGAGTTCTCCAACTCTCTGAGTGCTGTAACACTGAGCTATAACACTGAGCTGTAACACATTTTTTCTGCAACAATATAATTGTTCACATGCATTGACTCATGTATTCCTCACAAAAGCAATATGAGTTTGGTAGTTTTATTAGCTGTGTTTTATAGCTGAGGCAGTTAAGGCACAGAGAGGTCAAGTGACTTCCCTGAGGTCACACAGCTAGTAAGTGGTGGAGTCAGGATTTCAATCCAGGGACCTGAGCTTGACTGAGCCCTGAACTACTAGGTGACACTGCCTATGTCTTGATGCGTGGCCTCCCATGTCCTCCCTGCCCTAGCTTCTTATTCCTTCACTCATTTCCATTAATTTCATCATCCTGAAACACTGCTCAAGAATCTTTGGCAGCATACAAGTGGCAAAAGAACAGAAAGCATCAAAAATAAAAGACTGATGCTAAGTAAAAGGACAGGAAAACCACTATTTGTTCAGTGTCCTTTCAAAGGGTGTTACTTTTAAGCTCCTTCTGTGCAGGAGCTGTACCAGGCCTTCTAACATCATCTTTAGCTGAAACTGAGATATTTACGAATGCATCCACAGTACAAGGTATGTGACATGGGCCATCCTAATGCACTATACAGAGTGCAAGGAGCTGGGGTCATTTGTCATCAGAGCAATCAGAGACGAAGGCCTATGGAGGTCAGAGGTGCAGTGAGAGGACTTCCAGGTCACAGTGAGGGCTGGGCCCAAGTGATCTCAGCTGGTGGTGCAGGCACTTTCGGTGGAAGGGACACCAGGACAGGCTGTGTTACCTATTGGGGAATGGTGGGTGATGTAGGCTGGCTGGAGCCCTAGGCCCCATCACAGGGGACAGGACCAGCAGAGTTCAGCACACAGAAGAGTGAAAGTTCAATTTTCCAATGGGCAGAACCAAAAGGTTTTGGCTGGGAGGGTAGTCAGTTGAGACAGCATTTCCAGGAAGATGTATATGGTGCTAATATAAAGGGTGGGTCTGGAGACCAGGAATTCTGTTAAGAGTGACTTGTGATTGTAGAGAGATGAGGAAGAAGGGGCAGCACGGGGGTCAGGGCAATGGAGATGGAGAGAGAGAGAAGGTGAAATGCCATAAGTGGGAGATTTCCCAAGACTTGGGGACTGATTAGGTATGGGGGGAAAGTGACACAGAGAAAGAAGAAAGTACCTCATGAGCAGAAATGGGTGAGGCTAGCAAAGGAATTTTGGGTTTCAGTTGAATGTAAGTGAAGAAACAAAGTGAGCAGGAGCCTGGTTTTGGAAATGTGGAGTGCAAGGGACTGGTGGGCCTTCAGGTGCAGAGGTTAGGGGACCATGGTCAGAGCCTGGCTGGTGCTAAGCTGTCAGGACTGGTCTGGAAGGCAATGGTGAGGACCAGGTGTAGGAGTCATTGGCAAAACGAGGTGCATCCCGGGAGTGGGGGACAGAGGAGACTATCAAGGTCAGGATCTGGTGACTCTGCCCTAGGAGGCAGGGAGGATGGTGGGGGGGTCCGGGCAGCCCAGCCAGACAGAGGCTAAAGGAGGAAGGTGGTCTCAAGGGTAGGTTGCCAGTGTCAGCTGCTTGACAGAGGTGAGGATGACAAGAACCAAGACACGACCTGTCCTTGGGGGCCGGGAGGGTATTTGTGAGCTTCAAAATCATTGATAAGAGTGCGATCAGAAGGGGAAACATAAGAGGGAGACAGAGAGGACTCGGGAGGCGGGGAGCAGAGTTGAGAGGTTTAGGATGAGAGAGATCTGAGTCTGTGTGTAGGCAGCAAGGGGTGAGCTAGGGAGGAGTTAGAAACACAGAAGACTAACCAAATGGGAGATTCTTAGTCTAACCCCTCACTTAACATGCACACACATGCACCACAGATACTTGTGGAAAAGTCCAGAAAATGGTGGTTGGGGTGGGGGGAGCCAAACACAGCCAGCCTCAGGCAGGATGCAAAAGGATTCTCCAGTGAGAATAACTGTGGGCCCCTTGGCTCATGGGCTCCCCGGGCACCCCATGCCTGTCCCAGGTCTTTCCTGCATCTGGCGGAGGCAGCACACACCACCAAAGAGACAACTTTCCAGCCCCTGATCTAATCCCCATCTTGGTCTTTGATCAGTAGAAACTACACATAAACTACAACAAGATGGATATGCTCAAAAGACTGTCAAGAGGAAGGGACAAGCATATCCAGCAGTTAAAAAAATACATCTTTGTGAAAAACAACTGCAGCTCAGCCCATCCAACCCAAATCCCAAATAGGACTGAAAATATGAACGCCAAGTTGTTTATGGTGATGACACTAAGGAGAGAGGTGGAGAGAGAGAGGGTAGAGATTCAAAATTCATTCTTAGAGATAAACAACAAAGATTTACTGTATAGCACAGGGAAATATATTCAATGTCTTTATTAATAAACTATAATGGAAAAGAATGGGAAAAAAGCATATATATATATTATATATATACACACACACACACACACGCACACACACATATATATGTATAACTGAATCACTTTGCTCTACACCTGAAACTAACACAATATTGTAAATCAATTACATGTCAATTTAAAAACAGAAAAAAATTCATCCTCCATACTTCCATTTGTTAGAACCTTTAAAATGAGAATGTATTCAGTGCACTAGGAAATAAAAATTATTCTAGACAATTTAATCAGTAACATTATACATAGGTCAGTTGGAAAATAATCCTAACACATTACTACTTAACTCATCAATTTATTAATTGAAATTAACTAGGCAAAATAGGAGAAAGCCTATGCTATGGCTGCCTGCTTGTATTTTAAAACAACAATCTGAACACCGTATCAAGCTTTGCCAATTCCTCAAGAAAAGTAAATAAACTGACAAGCCCCACTGAATAACATATTTCCCTTAGAAAGGCCAAAAAGGAAAGTTTAGATATACAGTTTCTGAAAAAGACGTATTTTTCAACCAAGTTTTTTTGCTGTTTATTTGGCACTTCAAACACATATCTATCTTCATCCTTGTATATTAAAAAAATTAATATACCAAATACTCAATAATTTTCAAGAATTTTATAATAGTCTTCAATTAAAATCTCCTCGGAAGTGGATGTGTGTGTGTTTTTAACACACACACACACACACGACAGCCAGGACAGTGTTCTGCACATAGTGAGGCTCTGATATGTGCAGTTAAATGAGAAATTAGATGCTGTTAAGTTCTTATAAAGAGGTAGCACCTTGCATTTAAGTAATAAAACAAAAAAAAGACAACGGTTTTTTGAAAATAAAAAATCCCATTTTTTTTAGTATTACTATATTAAAGAAAGTTTAGTGAACATTCAAGAGCAAGATGTTTAAGACCTGAACACTATCAATTTGGATTATAAAAATACAACCATGAAGAAGGGCTGGAAGGATGCACATGTGCCAGCTGTATGTAACTTAAGCCACGGTCCTAAACAACAGTTCTCAGATGACATACTGGAAAGCCACAGGTTCTGACTCTGGTCAGCCAATTTTGTACTTATAAATTACTTCACCAGGTTGCTTCAAGGATCTAGGTATTAACCACTGCAGAAACCAAACCAAACCAAACCAAAAAACAAAAAAATCAGTATGGTTGGGGCATGGTGAGGGGGAGAGTCAGGGAGAGCTGGACATGGGCCTCACAGAGGGTTTGGATTTTATATTCTGAGTGCACTGGGAAACCACAGGACAAGAGGGAGGGGAGGTATGGGGCACTGTGTCCTCTCCCCGAAAGACCTGTCCAATCCTAACCCCTAGTACCTGTGAATGTAATCTTATTTAGAAAGGGGATCTTTGCAGACGTAATTAAGGATCTCAAGATGAGATCACTCTGGATTTAGGGTGAGTATACACTGGGTGACTGGTTGTCACCTTGTAAGAGAAAGGAGAGGGAGTTGTCTCACACACACACACACACACACACACACACACACACACACACGAAGACCATGTGAAGACAGAGGCAGAGGTTGGAGTGGTAAGTCTACAAGCAGGAAACGCCAAGGACTGCTGACAACCACCAGAAGCTGGAAGAGGCAAGGAAAGATTCTGAGGGTTGCCGGCAGCCACCAGGAGTTAGGGGACCGGCCTGGAACAGATTCTTTCTCAGACCCTCCAGAGGGAACCAACCCTGCCAGCACCTTGATTTTGGAGTTCTGGCCTCCAGCGCTGAGAAAATACATTTCTATCGTTTTAAGCTGCCAGTTTGCGGTAGGGGAATAATTTTAGCAATGAGCAAACACACATGCACACTTCTGGTTGCTGTACAGAGTGGACTGTGTAGGCAGAAAAAATGGAAGCAAGTATCCAGGTAAGAGGCTCGTGTAGCTGGAAGCTTATGGTGGCTTGAGTGAATAAACGAAGGAACGAATGAACTGACAAAAAGGGAACAGGAAAACACTGGAGAGTGACTTTGTGGATGAGATTGTCAGGGAGCGCAGTAGGAAAGGGGCACACGGAGCTTTTGTTGCGGAACTTCTAGTCTCAGCAGGGCTGGTTCTGCTTCTAAAGCGTATGTAGGGGAGTTCAAGGTGCGCTTCCTGGGGGTGGCCGGAGGAGCCGGCTGAAGGACGAACAATTGTGAGCCCAGCAGGAGGGCAGGGACTGAATCACACCCCCTCCTCCTTAGAACTAGGTGTCCAACACCTGTGCGTGGATGGACAGAACATAAAGCCTCCTTTAAAGGCCCAATTCACACACCACCTTCACCCTGCTGTTCTCCAACAAAAAGGGGGCGGGTAGGCAAGCCGGGCCACCTACCTCTGTCTCGGGGACCTCACTGCTGGTGTGTGGCTGGGCATGGCTGGTGCCGGCGTCACAGCCGGCCTCGGGAAGGGTCCCCTCGTCTTGCTCTTCCTTGCCTTCCCCCTGTTCGGGGCTGTGGCCGCCCTCCACTCCTCTGGGAGGACTTTGAGGGGTCTCCTCTCCCACAGCTGCCTCCTCCGGCCCCTTTATGTCTTGGCTCCTTTGTCCGGGTTCATCCTCTTTGCTGGCCGCCCTCTCCTGCACCTCCGTAGGCCCCTCCGTCTGCTCTCCCGCCGGTTTCTCCTCCGTGGGGCTCCCACACCCGTTCTCGGCCTCTGGGCCGGAGGCCAGGGCTGGACGCTGACCGGCCCCCTCTTCGGAGTTGCCCACGGCCTCCTCGCGCTGGGGGCCTTCCTCCGTGGCCGTGCCCGTCTCCTCCTGCTTCTCTGTCCTGTTGGACGTCCTCCTCAGAGGAGGGGACCCTGGGGCCTGGCTCTTGGGTGGGAACACCTCACCCCCGTTCTCTTCCTTGGCACCATTCTCCTGGGAGAACTCCACGGCCCTGAAGTCCCCCAGGTCCCCGCAGTCCGACTGGGACCTTCGGAATCGCCTGGAGGGAGGGCGCCTTTTGATCGAGCCCCTTGTCCGCACCTGGAAGAAAGCATTAAGGACAATGACCCACAGCCTGTGAGAAAGGCCAAGGGGAGGATGGTGTGTTCCTTCAGCGCTGGCCTCATGCACGGCCTCACAAGCCCCTCCGAGGATCAGGTTCTAGGGGGATGTACCACTGCTGGCTACTCACTATAGGTGGAGCCCTGTGGGATTGTGATTTTACATGGTAACGTGCAGATTTTTTTGCGAAGATGAAAATGCTTTGTATCCAGTAAAAAAGATAACCTATGATTTTATTGCCCTGTAAAATATCAGTTTGGTGTCTAACTTGGCAATTGTACTCTAACATTTGTTCTTTTGAATTGCCTATAAATAATCGGTTCTTCGAATGTTCTCTGAATGAGCTTTACCTCCTTACAGGTTTCTCATAAATTAACAAGCTGAATAAAATCTCTTTTTGGATGAAAGTCATGTTTTGACATTTTGACAATTCTACTTTGACAAAGATGAACCTAACAGAGGAGAAGGTGAGGGGCCTGCGGGTGGCCTGATCCAGAACAGGGACCTTGTGGGCGTGGAGCTGGACGGCTGGTGACCAGCTTTCTCTCTTTCCCCAGCTCGCCCTCCCCGCCCCTCACAAAGCTGGCTAACTCTGGGAGGCCTGCGCAGCCAGGGTCCTTTGCTTTCCCTTAGCAGCAGCCACACTAAACAGCAGCCAGCACAGCTGCCTGAAAATCGTTTCCTCTCTGGGAAGGGTGTGGATCTCAGAAGGAGGTCTCACCTCAGTCCACCTGACTTTGTCAGAAGTTCGATGGACGTGTTTGTACCAGATGCCCTGCTTAAGTGACATGGCCTTTAAAAATGTATATGCAAATCAAATCTTATTTTCATAAATCTTATTTTCTCGCTTACTTACATTTTGGTATTGGTCAATCCTAGTTCTGCCTCAGAGGTTTGGAATAAACAGTTCATTTTAAGAGGGTTCCCTGGGGGATGGGTATAGCTCAGCGGTAGAGCACACGCTTGGCATGTACAGGTCCTGGGTTCAATCCCCAGTACCTCCGTTAAAAAATAAATAAACCTAATTACCTTCCCTCCAAACAAAAAATATTTTTTAAAAAGGGCTTCAGGCCAGACTAGCCAGGCCTCAGCCCTCATGGCCAGCAGGGTTCAGAAATAATCTGCCTGCTCCCTTGCTGCTGTCACAAGCCTAAAGCTTCCCCAGTAATATGACCAGGTGGCAGTGCCTCCCTCCCTGCCCCTACTCCCTACTGACATCCTGACATCCTGTGAGAAGACAAGCCTCTCCCCTGGGTTCCTCCTGGGTTCCTCTCTGCCACCACCAGGGGGGTCTCTCCATCGCCCTGAGCTGGAGGAGCGCCACAATGTCCCCAGCCAGCAGGGGCAAGCCCTCCCCATCACCTCCTTGCTGCCAGCACTTTGTTTCCTTGGGCCCTACCTGTTTCAACAAACTCATTTGATCTTTTTTTCCTAGATGGACTTTCTGGGAAGAGCCCAGAATATCCCTCTCTCTCCATCCCTCATTCTAAAGTCACATCCATTTACCATTTCTTGGCATCAGATCCCCGTAACTCTTGGCCCCTGCTTGGCTCTGGTCCAGTTTGCTGGGTACCTGCTTGGAGTGAACTGGACTGTGTGTGCCTCTGATTCTTATATCCTCCTACGAGGGCAGGGATCTGAGGACAGCACACACAAAGTATCGGGCACAACGCATCTACAGAAACAGGCCCTGCCATACATCTTTTTGCAAAGAAACAGTATGGATGTTCTTTAATTGGGGCAAGATGCAGTAAGAACAACCTGACCCTATACTGGGACACAGCAGTATTCCTATTACTCCAGGACACAGTGTTTTAAAGACCTAGTGACCCTGCCCTCCCTTCTGATGAGTCACTGATCAGGTCTTTAGCTTTTGTTTTTGGCTTTTGACATAACTCTCTGTGCAGCTGGGGTCAGTCCTGAATTCCCACCCTTCTCTCCACAGAGGACAGAGCACTCCATCCCTCACGCCTGCCTTCCAGGTGAGGGGTGCTGTTACAGGGAGAGGAGCTGAGAGAGGCAGGCTAGACAGAGGGAGATCTTAGTTCGGGGATCATTTGCCAGGAAGAAGAGAAATAAATGTCCCTTGTTAAAACCCAGCTCTGACCAGAGCTCAAACGCAGCCTCCTTCCTCCAGGACAACAACAGGGTAGAGGTCATTCAGGATCGCCCAGTGCCCACATTTCCACAGACACACCACAGTGCTTTGTGTGCAGACATTACCTTATTGTAACAGGGCAGGTGACTGCCTTCAGGAGGCTGGTCAAAGCTGACGGGCACCTCCTCTGGCTCGCTGGCCCGAGACCGCACGCCAGGGCTGCTGGGGGTAGAGGGCGGGCTGTGAAATGGCGACACCATGGCCTTGAGTCCGGGACTCTTGGGTGAGGCCCCAGGCAGCAGGGCTGCTGGATCAAAGGCTAAATTGGCCTGTCGGGAAAACACAAGAAATGACAGGGAGGGGCGGTTCCCTGGCCTCAGAACTGACTGGTTGGGCCTAGGTAACACGAGGCTCTTCATGTTACTTCCTAACCAGTTATCCATTGTCACATCATGTCCTGCCCCTCCTGGAAGCACCACCTCCACAGTCTATCTCCTGCTACCTGGCTTACCCCAGGCTGCATCCCAGAATACCCAGGAAGTACTGATTTGATCCAACAAAAATGCACTAGAACTGTCCCACTTTATAGACAAAGAAGCCAAAACGGCCACTGCCAGCACCCGCAGGCACCCGGATCTCACGGCAGGTCAGCACCTTTTACCATCTTTCTTGTCAGCGTCAATCATAGTTACCGCTCACGGGGTGCCTGCTCCTTGCTGGGCATGTACAGTTTTCCCCTCTACAACCACCAGCCACCCCACATGTTTGGTTTTGTCCTCCTGCCATAAATTAGGAACGTGCCTAAGGAATCTGCCCTGGGATTCAAGCCAGGTCTGTGTGTCCCTCAGCCTGCAAGGACAGGGTGTCTCTCGGTGGACACAGCAGGCCACCGAGCCCGTCCAGAGGGGAGCCAGCCGAGCAGACGCCAGTGTGAACCCCAACCGGGGGCATCTCAGTGCAGGTGAAACAAGATTAAAATGAACCCTAAGAACAACAAAGGGGAGAGGTTACTCAAAGGTAACCTGAGGCCTGAGGGAGTCATGAGTTTGGTGGGGAAGGAGGCCCGATCCATTCTACTGCCTCGGAGACGGTGGTGGGGCAGGTGTCTACGGAGGGACTGAACGTGAGCGCCCCAGGTCCTCTCCAGCGCCACCTAGGGGCCAGTGCGCCTCCTGCTCCGCCCTCTGCATTTCCAAATCACCGCACAGTTGTCCTCCAGACCAGCAAAGCCAGCATCAAGGCCTCACAGGGAAGGGACCAGGCTCGAGGGGCAGGTGACGCTCTCCACGCAGACACACTTGACTCCAAATATCAGCTTTCAGTGAGTAGCTGCGTGACCTTCAGTGAGTCCCGTAACCTTTCTAAGTCTCGCATTTGTCCAATCTACTGAGCCTGACCTCCAGAATCTTTTTCGATCCACCCCATTACTCTCTCCTGCCACTACCTGGCTCACACCCTTCCCCTCCAGACTCCCCTCGGTGCCACCCTTCCACCAGCTAAGACTGTCACCCCAGAGAACTCCTACATGGACTCTGGGACTTGCAGAGTACGGAACGTTTACACATGTTAGGAAGACACTAATATTTCTATTGTGAGCTTAAGAAAGAACTTATAGACAATATTGCATCATGGTAAACTTAAAAATATAAAAGTTAAATGGCAACACTGTGGGCCCAACCAAGCCATGTCTAAAAGCAGCACATGGCAGGTACCAAGGGGCAGAGGCTGTGGGAGCTGATGCGCTGGGATGGCTCAGAGGGCTTCATGGCAGAGGAGACGTTAACTGAGCATTAAAGGAGGTCTTTCTCCCTTCTCATTGTCAAGTTGGGAAATTCCTTCCGTAAGACTGCTTGCAAATAACATGGGTCTAGCTAGCCAATGGAAAACTTGAACTTTGAATTATGGACAGTAGTGAAGAAAAATCATAGTTCCTAACTCATCCAATAAAATATTTAGAAGAAATCCAGCTTCTGGTGCATTGCTTAGTTCTTTGCCCACATGTTTCCAACAAAGCAAGGCTCCTATGGGATTTGGTCAAATGATACATTATCCCTGACACCCTTCATGAGATTAAACCGTTAGAGATCAAAACCTCATTCTCAGGTTGCTGTGCTTCCGAAAGAGGCTCATTAATGGCTGGAAAGGGGAATAAGGCCAAGACTGCAGGGTACACAGCATTTGGGAACTAATTTCCCGCACCTGGATGAGGGCGAGGCTGGCTGCAGGCAGGTGGAGGCGGCTGTCCTGGGCTACACCTCTTAGATGGCTGCTAGGAGGGAATGTCAAGTTCTGGGGTCCTGTCTGAGAAATCCCTGTTACGTGCATGGGAGCCCTGCAGCCTCCTACAGTGATGGACAGCCCCCCTCCCTCCCTGCAGCGGGGGTGGAATCAGGGCTTCTCAGAATGAATTAAACTTCAGGGGAGATGCCTCCCCACCCTCCACAGGGAAGGCTCATGGCCCAAAACCAGGGATGCTTTCCTTCACCCCAAATCAGGCTGGGAGCCAAATCCTGGGCTCTCCTGTAGCTGGGAACTGCAGAGGCTGTGGCTACTTGTCTCCACACATCCCTGATAATGGCTTCAGAACGAGGCTGGTGTGCCAATTTTGTTAGTTGGGCCCAGGTGGGACGATCCAGGGCATGAGAGCCTTGCTGTTCTCCTGGGTGGCTGCACAGAGACTGCGGTGAAAGCCAGAGCATCTTCTACAGGCCCCACCCAGACATGTCACGCCTGCCCCTCCTCTGCGCTCAGCGCATGCTGTTCCCACAACAGGCGCGCTTTCCTCTCTCCTTTCCAGCCATCATCCCTAAGGACCAACTCAGGGTATGCGTTAATTACTCCTGCCCACTCACTCTCTTCTTGCTCAGAAATTCTCGAGCAGTGGTTCTCACCTGGAGTGGGGTTGGGGATTTTGCCCCCAGGAGACCTGTGGCAACATGTAGGGACATTTTTCTTTGTTACAATTTGTTGACAAGTTCTGCTGGCACCTCGTGGATCGGGACCAGGGATGCTGCTAAACATCTTGCAAATGTACAAAGCAGCCCCCTGCAACAGAACTACCCTGCACAAATGATCCCAAGGTTAAAAAGCCCTGGTCTAGCGCAGTTGAAGTCGGGTACTTAACACACAATTTAGATCTCCGGTGTTTGCTTCACTCTCCTATACAGCTTTTATTGGATCATGTGTGAAAATCACGTCTCCCCAACGAGACTGTGAGATCAAGTGCAGTGTCATGTGCAAGCTGGTTACCAGAGGTCAGCCATCCAGGTGACATGTGGGACTACTCTTGAGCCCCAAAGGCATGCAAATGTTGGATAAGAGGTGGGGAAGGATAAGAGGTAGCAAGAGCTAACCGTTCTGAACTTACCTGAAGCTTCTCGATCAGAGGCGAGCTCTTCACCTTGATTTTAGGAGGGTGGTTTGCATTGGGCGGTGACTTCTATAAAAGCAAATGGACCAAAACAACCAGATAAATAAGGTGAAAGGAGGTGGGGTTCTGGCAGGAGACCAAAAGCCACCGTTGGAATAAGAGGAGAAGAAAAAGTTGGTTTCACCACTTGAGCTTCAAAGCCCACTTCCCCCATCGGGTCCTGGGCGGGGCAGGCTCATCTTACTACTGACAAGACCACCTGAATCTATGAATTAGAGAAGGCAGGACAGATGTCTTCAACATAGGAGGTCTGTTCTAGGAAGAACGCCTTCGTGGTCATTGTAAGGGAACAGGCTATGTCGCAGGGGGACAAGGTTTTCACCTCCTGACCTTCGGCAATGTAAGCCAATATTTGGAAGGAATTTCAAAGAGGACCATTCTGCTTGTCACAAACAAAACAAGAAACCACAGAGCCAGACTGAAACCTGTCAGGGGTATTACTGAAATTCTTCCCTTGAACTAATAATATTTTGGAAAACTCCACCAAGAGTGTTGTTGATAAATTATCATTTTCTAAAACATTAGCTATTCATTTTGATTAAGCAGACATTTATTATCTACTAGATTCCAGGCATTGTGTTGGTTACATAAAGATGAATATGATTTAGTCCCTGCCTTCTAGAGTAGTCAATGCTTGATTTTATATATACATAAAATCCATATAGGTGCTCTGTTAGTTGGAGATTTTTTTTTTGGTGGTGGTGGGGTGATTAGGTTTATTTATTTATTTTTGGAGGAGGTACTGGGGATTGAACCCAGGACCTTGTGCACCTAAGCATGTGCTCTATGGCTTAAGTTATACCCTCCCAGCACTGGAGATATTTTTTTTGTGATGAATGCATGTCAGGAATCTTGTCTGTCTTTGGATTTTATATTATCTAAAAAGACTATCTCCTTCTTGTTTGGTGTAAAATCCCTACAACTTGATCCTAGTTCCACAGGCATATTGATCCTCACTCAACATGTAGGGATGATGACAGTAATGATGATGATGATAATGAAGAAGAAAAAGAAGAAGATGTGTCTGCTGGACAGAGACCAGAGCAGAAAAAGAATTTTCCTTTAGTTTGGGGACCCTCACTCCTAATTTACTTGAATCATAAGAATAACCCCAATTTCTTACAACTATTCTGAGATATTTATTGTGTGAGATGATTGGATTTTAGTGGTGGAAGGAGAGAGACTCACTCAACTGAACTCCTTGTAACCTTTTTAAGGCCCAACATTGCGGGAGAGGTGCTGGAGTGGGGCAGTCACTGGCTAGGATGCAGGGGCCTCCCTCCCCAGCCCCCTCTCACTCTGGCTTTGCAAGGAGCCAGATGGATGCCCTGGCCTCAGGCTCCTCATCCAAGACCTAGGCTGGCGGGTTGGAATAACTGATTCTAAGGACAACTCCAGCTCTCCAGTGCCTCTGAATCCACAAGTCTACAATGTGAGACATAGTCCCAGAGCGCTCAGTCTTTCAGAGAGCTTTGTGTCCATGGTGACTACAAACAGCTTCCAGCCCAAACTCGGCTGTCCTTGATTTCTGGGCTTTACAGTGAAAGTTCACAGGAGCCAGTGTTCCTGAAGACACCCGTTTTAAAACCTGCAGCAGCAGATGTGCTGACAAAACTCACTTTATATAATACTTTAAACTCTTCTCTTCGGCAACTGACTACTATCTTCTGAAAAGAGGGAAAATTAAAAAAAAAACACAGTCCCTTCCGCATAGGACAGTGCTGGGAACTTAGCTTGTTCTCCCCAAAATCCTTGTTGATTTGAATTGAACTGCAAAGCAGGAAGAATCCAAAATAGCCGCCAATGCAAGAAATGCAGTTCCTGGGAAAGGCAGTAGGTGGCAGTATTTCCATTACTGTTTAAGAAACAGCTCTAGGCAAGTGGCTCGGGCTAATAGTGTTGGTGCAGAAAAGCCAGGCTTGCATCTCTCTAAATGTATGTATATGTGCCCATACACAACATTCTATCAAGTTTAGAAATTACAGACTATATTTTTCAGATGGAAGTGTTTTTCACTTCTCTGGGCAGGTGAGGTAGGGTCAGGGGCCACAGTAAACACACTTTTGAGGGGGGAGGTTACAGCGCAGCGGTAGAGCACATGCTTAGTGTGCAGGTCCTGGGTTCAATCCCCAGTATCTCCTCTGAAAATAAAGAAACAAATAAACCTAATTACCTCCCCCCTCAAAAAAAAAAAACCCTAAATAAAGTCACTCTTCAAAAAATAAAAAGAAATAAAATAAATTTAAAACAATTTTTTAAAAAACACACTTTTGGGTGGGTCCTCCAGAGACGGGTAACTCCAGGACACCCAGTCTGCAGGAGCTGGCGCCACCATCTCAGGCTCTGCAGGCATAGGGAGGGGGCAGGGATGAAGAAGGGATGGGAAGACCCTTTCCAGCACTGCGCATCAAGAACCGAGGAGCAGCCTGAGTGGGGCCCTCCCTGCAGGTCCCCAGGGCTCCCGGCATTAAGGCTCCTGCAGGCTGTGCTATGGGAGCATAGGAGTGTGGGCACAGCCTCCGTCTAACCCGGACAGACAGGGCTGGCTGTTCGTTTTATTTTTATGTGGATTTCAAGGTGATGAAGTCATTGATCTCTGGAAGCAATGCCCTTCCTGTGTGCAAGCAGCTTGTCACTCCACGCAGGAATTACCCTCTCAATCCCACGCTCCCACCCATCCAGCCCTTGGTTATATATGCCACTTAGCTGCTGATGTACCCTCTGGGATGAGACCTGTAAATGCATTTCTCCCAAAGCTGCTGAACTAACCTGACTCACTCCTCTTTTACCTAAGGAATAAAACATCCCTATCCAGCCCCATCTGCTTAGTGTTCTTGTTCCTTTTACAAAAAAGGAAAGGAGCTCAGTGCAGTGCAGTGACGTCTCCGGGGCCAAGTTCAGGTCACGGAGGCAGCCCCACAGTAGGCTCCTAATGGCCACGGCCTTAGCCTGTTGCCTAAGACAGACTCCAAGCCCAGAGAGTTGAAAGTCACAGGAGAAGTTGACACTCAGTAAAGAGAAATTGCTGGTATGTATTTGGTCAGGACATTGGCTGGTGACCCCAAGAAGCCACAGAATCATGTCAGCACTTGAGGAGGCCCCAACAAAAGCTTCATGGTTTTTTGTTGTTGTTGGGTTTTGGGGTTTTTTGGGGGAGGGGTAATTAGGTTTATTTATTTTTTTAATGGGGGTATTGGCGACTGAACCCAGGACCTTGTGCATGCTAAGAATGCACTCTACCACTGAGTAACCTACCCCCCCAAAACTTAGTGATTTTTAAACTGTGCTTCTTGGGGGTTCTCATCTCAGAAGACCCCGATCCGTACGGGTGGTGGAGTATTCTCAGAGCAAATGGGGCGTTAGACTCCAACCCCACTGTGCCCCACATCCCACTCGAGCAGTTCTGAGCTTCGTCTGATGGGTTTCTGCTTATACATCCTGAGTTGACAAAAAGGTTTGAAAATCGCTGATCCACTCCAAATGGCTCACTTCATGTAGGCCCCAAAAGGCTCGCCCAAGTTCACATGTCTATCTGGTGTCTGCCATCAGGACACCAGTCTCCGAAAAGGAAGAGGGGAAAGAGGTGGTCACAATGGGATGTGGGAACTGGACTGCCTTGCTCTATTTTGGGGCTGGCCTCCCAGGCTGGACGAGGGAACATGCAAATCCATTTCTGGCCGGGACCATGATGACCACAGTGAAGGTTCATGGATGGCTGGGAGGGCGTGGACAAGACACTCCTACAGCTACAATTAGATAAATAAGAGTAGGTGAATATGCAGGCTGGGAATCCATCGCTGGCTATGATCTGTGATACCAGACCCTTTATTATGTTTGTAACACTGGCTATTTATATCTGAGGGCAATGAGGTCTCTTGTGTGCTCTGGTTTTCTTCCAGTGATCCAGAACAATAGTCAGCCTTCATAAGATCCCGCAGAACCTCACGACTCTCTCACACTGCAATTCTGCCTTACGTGAGTGCAGCGCCTCTTTCCGGACGCCTTCTACACAACGGAAGATTCTGTCTACGCATGGAAGATCATCTAAGTCAGACCTGACAGTAAAACGTGACTTTCATGACTCCTGAATCCGGTGTGGCAATACTGTGCGGTCCATTCTCTTTGCTGAAATGCTGAGGCTTGAAAAAGAGTGTTCCTGCCCTTGAACAGGAGGCTCAGTAAGAGAAAGCAGAAGGAGCCTCGTTTTCAAATGATAGGATTCAGGAAGCATTAAGAAGAGGAGACTCATCCCTGAATCTGAAATGTTGAAGTTCCCCGCGCAGGTTTCGAAGTCTACAAGTGTGACTGTGGTGCCTCTTCCTCTAAGGAAGAAGAAAACCCATCACCAGCATCCTCTGAGCCCCCGGCAGCAGTGGCACTTACCTCCTCACCATTCTGGCCCAGCTCTACCTTGGGGGGGAACAGAGAGAGGGAGCAGGGCGGTTTCCTTCTTGTTGGTTTAGTGGCTGGTGTCTAGAGGGAGGGCGACAGACGGACACATAGAGAGAAAAAGAGAGAGAGCTAATCAGGCAACAAGGAGGAAGAGGAAGGAAGTGGTAAATGGTTTTAGGAATGTTTAGGGATGTCTGAAGGAGAAAAGAATGGAGGGAGGCATTGCATGTCTTTGTGACCATCCGTTAACCCAAACCATAAATTCATTCCAGTGAACTGTTGGCCCGTTTTGACTTTCAGCCTCTCCTCTCCTGGTCCTTTCCTGCCAGAGAATCCACTTCTACTTGAGATGCATCAGCCTGAAGCAACATCTCAAAATGACACCACATCCAGCTGCTAAGTACTGCTAGCACCTTAGATCAGGGGTCTCTCCTTCACCCTTTATGACATTCCTATAATGTCTAGAAATTATGGGCCGATTTTTCAGATGAGAAAACAAAAATGCAAAATAACACACCTAAGAAAGCATGACAACCATATTCTCGTCTGCCCCAAGAGGCCATGATAACCCTCCTTCCACACTGGGGCGTGAGTTGCGGGGGAGCTCTTCCCTCACTTCACTTCTAAAGAGCTCCTCACACTGTAGGACTAGAGAAAACCTAGCCCGAATCTCTCCAACGCTACCTTTGACTCTGCCCTCTCCAGCAGGTTCTTTCTAGAATCCATTGGTCACTGGCTTCCGTTCCATCCTGATCCCTGGCTTCCTATCTGACTGTGCTTCCCTTGAAGTCCTCTCTTTCTTCCCAAGGCTCCATTTGGAATCTGTCCTTGCTCTGGATCCCTAGGTTCCGGCAGGAGCCTGGTGCGGGGGCTTCTTTATTCTGCATGAGCCCAGGTCTGGTACAGCTGTGCAAGATCTAAGTCTCCATCAGTGAATCCAGAAGGAGATGAATGCAGACTCTCTCCGACGGGCAGGACTTCAGCTCGCGGCCGGCCCTGGGTCTGCTCCCTCCGCGCCAGAGTGTAAGCCTCACTCTGCTGGGGAAAGATCCCGCCCAGGCCCAGCGGCATGGTGACATTCCTCACATTCAGGGAGACCCCTCTCCGCTTCTCTTCCTAATTTGGTAATTACCAAGCCTCCTCCCGCCCTCTCCTCTGGGCCTGACCCAGACTTCCCCTTCCTCCAGCCCCCTCCCAGGAGAGGGGCTCTGAAGCCGCCTGACTCACCTCCTTTGCAGCGGCTGCCTGCTCCCTAAACCGCCCGGCCAGCTGGGCTACCGACGGGGGCGCCGAGTCGTCCACTTTGGCGTTAGTTTCTGCCGGCCTTTCCTGGCAAACCAAGGACAAGCAAAAGTTAACCAGCAAGTATGTACTTGGCACCGCAGAGAGTCGGCACTGGGTGCCACACAAGGTGCTGGGTATAAGGCCACGATGTTATGTGTGTCACTGTGCCAGGACAGTGAGGTCTTTAACAGCATTTTGCAATTGGCTCCTGCATTCAAAGATTTTTTAAAAGACCTGTTCAGTCAACTGCATTTAGTGAATATTTACAATGTCCTCAGCCCTGGGTGTGGCTCTGGGGACCTGGAGAGGAAGACAACTTGGTGCTGTCCTGGGAGGTGGGAAGGTGCCCAGAGATCTGAGAGGCAGGATAAGGCCGGCTTCCCCCCAAATTCCACAAAGACCCGGCCTAAGGAGGGGTATATCAGTGACAGCATCTTCCCTTGGTCAGACGAGGCTTAGGAAACTGGGGGCTGGCAACATGCACTGGAGAGAGAGGCCTGTAACTACATGTAATAGGATGAGCAAATGCCGTCTATTGAACTTGGACAATATTTTTGTGTCTTGTCTCCCCTGCTTAATTGAGTGCCTTGGACATAGAAATGTTCAGAAAATATTTGTTGAATTAACAGATAAATAACATGAGAGGTAGGGAGCATGGCGGACGGGAACCAGACTGTCTGGATTTGGCTGCTCGTACTAGTTCAGTGACCTTAAGCAAATTACTTTACTTTTCTGTACCTTGACAGGGATAATAGTAGCACATCACTCACAAGGCTGTTCTGAGAATTATATGATTTACTGTATAGCTATAGGGCAGGGACAAGGCCCCGGGACATAAGAATTTTAGAACGGCTGTTATGAGTATGGGCAACAGGGTCCTTCCAAGAACCCTTGTGATGATTTCAGTTAGATATTTGCATATCTCATTACATTCTCCACAGTGTCTGCACTGAGAGACTCACTTCTTTTACTGTTCTGTTCCTTTTTGCTGGGAGTTTTCTCCAAGCCGGTTACCATGCCCCTGCTCTGCCACCAGGGCAGTCATCAGTTTCCTGCAGCCTCTCCTCCCTCAAGGTGCCTCCAGGCTCCCTGAAGAGGCCACAATGCATCTGGACACCGCTCACTCCTATCTGTCACACACACACACAGGGTGAGTCAGCGAGTGCTGGAAACAGCCACCTCTCTTCTGCCTTGTTACATGCATCCCACAGAACCACCTGGTTTTAATAACGTTTATCAAATGTCCAGTCCCAGAGATGCTAGGCTTTGGTTTTTGGTGACTGTGATGATGGCATTTTTTATGCAGACTGCAAACTCCCTCTCCACGCTTCCCTGCTCATGTCTAGCTTGAAACTGGGAGGATTTGGGTAGTACGTTTGCCTGAGAAAGTTCATCTCTGTCTTTCCATGGGGCTCATGGCCTTCCAAGACCAGGCATGCTCCTCTCCAACTGCAAGCTTGCATCCCTGTGCACCACACACCAGCACAGACACACACACACACATTCACATACACTTCCTAGGCCCTCCTTTTTGTGCTAAAATTGTTTCCAAGCTTTGTTATTTGGGTGTTCCCTCCAAAGTAAATGTCACTGGTTATACCAGATGCTGCCCACTTGGAGCAGAGGAGGGGCAGACAGACGCCTGACCGCCCGCTGAACTCCAGCGCCCTCCGGCGGTGAAGCTGAGTAGGTGGGGGCAAAGCTTTGTGAGGAGGGCTTTGCTTAGAGATAGGAAAGAACTGCTGGGGCCATGGACCTGCTGATCTGTGAACAGGCTGTTCTAGAGAAAAAGACGGGTCCCTTTTTACTATTTCCCGCTGTTATTCAAGTTTATCCCCAGTGCATCCTAAACATCAAATGCTGACTTCACATCAAGATGTAAAAGGATTCACTTCTCTTCAAGATGCCAGAATTCCCCACAACGCTGGGGGAAAGCAGGGGAGCGGTGCCCACCCTGATCATGCCCCGCACTTGCCGCATTGGGCCTTGTCGGAGGTGAACATCTTGTCCTCTCGGAACAACGGAGACGCTCCAGGGACAGTGTGATTAATTAATTGAGCTGCTCTTGGCAAAGATGCTGGGCCCATTAGTTTGTCCATCTGTCTAACTTCCTGCCCCGGAACAGCTCAGTCTCTCTGTCCGTTGCTATTTATCGCTCACATCCTGCTGACAGCGCACTTTACCTCGGCCCCAAAGGCGCCAATCACTGGCGGTGCAGGAAGATACATTCCAGATAAAAATAGAGCTACAGGAATCAGAAACTCCTCCCCAACTTCCCTGTCTCAAAACTGGGCTTGGCAAGGGGCGAAAGAACTACAAGCCTTCTGGAAGCATTTAGGGCTTAAAAGCTGGGTTGAAGGAAAGATTATAATACGTCTGAATTTGTTTTCTTGGAACCTAGTGAATGGCTTTTCTTTTGAATGTCCACGGACTCCAGGGCTTGCTGAAGCCTGGCAAATCCACTCACCACCAGCCCCTCTCCAGATGCTTCTCATTCTATGTTATGGAAGAATGACTGATTGTTGCCTTCTCTCAGTCGGGCACACCAAAGCCCAGAGAAGGCAAGTGACTTAACCAGAGTCACACAGGACAAGCTAAACAGAATACTCTGTGAAACACTTGACTCCAATGCCTGATAAGCTAGCAATGGACATCAGTTAAGTAGGATAATTTGTGCAGGTGCTTTGAGAACTGTCAAGTGATACATAAACAGTGAAGCTATCCTATGCCACTGGGTTGCACAGGAATAGTGGGAGCAGCATGGCTCTGGGGAGGGACAGGCGCTGAGGTGCTGCCTGGATTTCTGCCTTGCAGTTCTGGCAGGGACCACAACTAACCTCCTCCAGCAATTTGACATCACACCGCCTCAGCCCCAGGAGGGTGAGCTCTCTCTTGGCCAAGGCTGGTTTGGTAAGGTCATGCTCCCACCTTGATTGCTCTTAGATCTGAGACTGACTTCAGCGTCCCTGCCTAGTCCCCAGTTCTCCTGGGACACCCTCCCTCCCATCCCTGCCCACAGCCTCCCTGGGACTAAGTGTTCTTTCTCTATTCCAAAGAGAATATTCTCTATTCTGTTAAGTTCTGAACACAGAGCAGGGAACACAGAAAGTTCTCATCAAAGGATGCTTTCTTCCCCTCCCCCACCACCCAACCCCCAGCAGGTGCCCAGGTATCAGGCCCGGGCACCTGCTCCCAGAGTCACTAACACCCTCCCCTGCCTACATCCACATTCCACGTTTTGTCGTTGTTTTGACCCCAGCTTGTCCTTTCTTTCCGGGGCCAATCGCTACGTCTTAAATCTGTCTTCTCACCTCATTCCTCTCCGGGTCCTGCTTCAGTTGACACTTGTCCTTCCAGACTGTAGCCCCCTACTCCATCTTCTGGGTCCTGGAACTTGCTCACCAAGCCCTCGGTGCCACCATTTCAGCCTGGCTCTGCCGGCAAGCTTGGAACCCATTCCCGTGGTTCGCGCGACTTTGCCGAGGCCAGAAGAAAATCACCTCTGGTGTTTACTTTCTGTTTCTATGGGACTTTCTTCTGAGAACTGAGGAGCCCCTGTGTCTGGATGGCATGGAACTTCCCTCTCGCTGTTGCCATGTTGAGTCAGTACAATTTGGACGCTGCCGGCCACCCACACAGTGGAATCTTTGTGGACACGCCCGAATTGGGCACTACCTACCTCCCTGCCTCTGCCCCATCCCGCCTCCTTGGTCCAAGGTCTATGTATCGAACAGTCTCTGGATCGTGGTTTAGGAAGACAAGGCACGTACAGCTTGGAGGAGAAGCAATGGGAGGGCTCTGCCTAGGGGCTGAGGAACCCCTGCCCTTATAGCTAAAAGGAAGGTTCTCTTGCTCACCAGAAACAAGCGAGACCACCCAGAGCCTCAGAAGTGTAAGGTGTGCTTGCTTCTCTGCTCTTCTAGAGCAGCTGTGGATCTTAAGACCATACTCACCCCCTTCCAATATGTCCATACTTAAACCATCATTTCAGAAGGATCAACAGACAGTCTCTTTGGGATCTCACGATGGTTCCAGCATCTTTCTTTACCCTCACCTTATCCTTAACTCTTTAATTCACCCCAGCGTTTCACCATTACCATCCTGGGACGATGGAAAGGACGAGGGACTGGGAGCCCAGGTGGCCCCTTTGACCTACCTGCCTACTGGAACAGCTGCTCTGTGGGAGGCACTGTCCTTAGAGCACCCGATACATTTTCTATCATCCTCATACTTCTTCTAGAACAGAAAATGGCCCAGAGTCGCTAACTCCTCAAGTTACTAAGTGTAGCACCAGCTTTATCTGGATTCCAAAGATCTAGCGTTTTCCCGCACCGACATGCTGTACCAACTCTAGACTTCTGCGCCAGAAGTTATCTCACTCATTCTCTCATCAGTAAACATTATTGCCCTGGGCCCCGGGGTGAAGCCATGACAGTTCTTGCCCTTAAGGAGTTTCTATTCCACCAAGGGTAGCAAAGAGTAAACACAGATAAACAAATAAGATACCTTGTTAAAGGCCATGAAAAAGAGAAAACAGGGCATTTTATCTCTGGGGGTGTGAGCAGACATCTCTGAGGAAAGGTCATCTGAGTTGAATCCCAGCTGGGGAAAAGATGGGAAGAAAGTTCTTCTGAGCAGAAAGCACAGACAGGAACAAAGCCTGACAAGCCGAGAAAAGAGAGGTGTGGCGAGGACCTGTCTCATCAAGGACAAAGGAGGGGAGATCCAGGATGAGAAGCAGCCTGGAGCCCACCGTGTGGAGCCTCGAGGACTGTGGCAAGCAGTTTGTGTTTCATTTTAAGTAAACTGGACGCAGGAAGGGGCAGAGGAGCTAAGACCCTGAGCAGCGGACAGGGCCAGCCACTTGTGGGGGAAATGGCCAGAATGGAAGGAACCTCTGGTGATGGGGTGGCCAAAAGGGTTTCGGTGAACAGGAATCTCTGGTCGTTGATTTACAGTTGTTAGCTATGTGGTGTCATCACAACCGCCTCCTGCAATCCGCAAACCTGCAGTAGAAGTTCTACTGAATGCCTTTTATTTATGGGTGCTTTGTAAAGGGATAGAGTGAGAATGAAAAGTGTCTAGGGCCCACATTTGGTAAAGGAATGCCTTCAAGCGGCAGACTTTTTTGATTTGCCCACTCAGAGGACATTAATGAGCCCGACACATGCCAGGGATTCACAGGGGAGCAGATTCACAGGGTGCTTAGGTCTACTGGGCTTACAGGAGAATGGAGGACAAGGATTCAGAAGAGGCAGAAAACTGGGACCAAAGGCGACCATGGGCAGATAAATCTGGGAATTAGTAACTATGAGGATGGCTTAGACACAGGGTTGGAGCCAATACTCTGCAGATCTCAGGAGTCTGTGAGACTAGCCGGAATGGTGGTCTGAACTGCAGTTGGGTCTGTGGGGATGGGATATTAGCAGAACTCAAAAGCAAATTAGGTGGAGGATTGATCAGAACTGACGACTGACCAAGTGTGTGTAGGGAGGTGGCAAGATGCTGCCCAGGTTTCTGGCCTCTGCTGGGTGAACAGGGATGCTGTCTACAGAGATGGGGAGCCTAGAGGAGGAGCAGGGCTGGAAGGAAAGAGGTGAGAGGTGCCAAGAGAAGGGAAAAGTGCCCAGAAGGGGTGAGTGGACAGAGCAGAGAGTCCAGGACAGACCTAAAGGATCTGCCTGGGATTTTTGGAGTCAGACAAACCTGGGTTTGAAACTTGGTTCCTGTTACAAGGTAATGGCCAAAGACAGGCAAGGTTAGTGGAGGGTGGGAGGAGGTGGAGAGAGTGCTGGGATGAGGAGCAGAAGCTGGTCCGGGCTGGGGTGCACGCACCAACATCTCCATCTTCCTCCTACCACCAGTGGGCGTGCAGGGGGGGAGGAGCAAATCAGATTCAACCTTGTCAGTCTGTCAGCCTGGGAGCAGCTGGCTTTTTTTTTCCTTTTTCTTTTTAGGGCAAAGGGGAAATGCCTCTGCATAGCTAACATGGGTGATTCAGAGGGCCAACATGTAAATCTACAACACACTGCTCTTCAAAGGGAGTTTCTTCTGTATAGCACAGGGGGCTATATTCAACATCCTGTAATAACCTTCAATGAAAAAGAATATGAAAACAAATATATGTATGTATACGCATGATGGGGACATTGTGCTGTACAAAGAAACTGACACATTGTAACTAACTGTACTTCAATAAAAAATTTTTTAATAAAATAAAAATGTGATTCAACTTAAAAAAAAAGAGTTCAGAGACTCCTGTCATGTGCTCCTCTCTTGCTGGTTAGTCCCATAATAAACCTGATTCCACTGGGAGCCCCTCCAAGTCTGAGAGATGGGTTGGGTTCCAGGCACCAGGGTTGCCTGGAGTCCTGGGGTTTGCTGCAGCCACCCGGAGGCCCCCCAGGGACACCCTTCACTGGGGGCCGTTTCTGCTTCCTGAGTGGGAGTGACAGTGAGCGTGTCCTGAGGTCTGGGACATCTGCCCTTCATGCCACAGCAGAAAGCCCAGCATGCCTTCTAAGATTAGAATAAGTCGCCCGAGGACCAGGGCCTGCCTCCCAGTCAGCTGCAGCCTCTCCTGTTACAGCAGCTCCTCTTCCCTCCCCTCCCGTCCTCCCTTGCAGCCTGGAGCTGGACTCTTAGTAGGGAGCCCCCTGGGATGCTCTGTGGGTCGGACCACCATGGGTAGGATGTGGTGCTGGGTCTTCCGCTCCTTCTTTTTGCTTTATCACATCTTGGGCTCATTCACTCGTTCATTTTTCCTGTACTCCAGGTCCTGCGCCAGAATATAGCAATTAACAAGATAATACAGGTCCTTTCATAATGGAGGTTACAGTCCAATGAGGGTGACTGTTCAACAACCATCATTTTTGCCCCAGGTTGTTGTTAGGGTAATAAATGCTGCAGAGGGAAAGGACTAGGAAAGCAAGTGACAAGGGGACCTGACCCAAAGATGTGATGGTTAAACTGAGACCTGAAAGATAAGTAGCAGTGATCCAAGCAAAGTGTATGAGGTGGGGAGGGGAGGGGGGTAGCCAACGGCATTCCAAGGAGAGTTTACACCAAGGTCTGGAACTGAGAAGACTGGGAGGTGTTTAAGGAAACTAAAGGTCGATGTGTCTGAAAAACAGAGAGTTTATCAAATACCGTGGTTTTGCAAGCCTGTCTCTTTCTGCTGTAAGCTCAGGGACAGTGTATTATTCGTGTCCCCATCCCCTAGCCCACTGTGATATTAAGTGCTTGATAAATGCCTGTAAATGAATGAATGAATAAATGAATGATGTCCCAGTAAACCAACACCACTGGGCAAACATTGTGCGGGCTTGATAAATATAGATCAGGACCTTGAAGTGGAAATGGAAACAAAGTGTCAGCCAGGGTTGGCTCTGGGCACACCTGGCTTGAATACGTTCATTACGATTCATTGACTCGTCCAAGGTCAATGGCATAGTACCTAGAGGGCAAAGAATGAGACCTTCCCTGATGAATCCAATGGTTAACAACCTGAACCTCCAGTCTCTACTTGGAGCTAAGAAATCCATTATGATTTCTTATTCCCATCCCTGGGTATTTGTCTTCTCCACTTTTAATAATCCAATCTCTCCTAAAACATGACATATCTTTAAAAAATACTTAAAATTTGTCTATTTCTTTATCTAGAATGGTTGGATCCTTCTGTTGGCAGCTAGGATTTTCAGACACATTTCCTCAAGGATCAAATGATGCACAGAAAGGCATGAGTCCCTATCAGTGCAGAGTGGTGTCTGCACAGGATCTAAAATCCACATCTCTGGTCTGTCCCCTGCAGCTGTCCTCAGATACCAAGGCTGTCCTCCCCTCCTTGCTGCCCAGGGATGCTCTAGGCGGGAGCCCACAATCTCTGGTATGTCAAAGAGGCCCCATGCAAAGTACAGGCAGGCGCTACCTGCCCAAGAAGCCAACTCACTGGGGTGGGGCCAAAGGGGTCTTGAAGCAGTTATTTTAATTATCTTTCCCATCTCCTCTTGCCACACCGTCCAAAGAAGAGAAAAGGAAAGAAAACCACCTAGCTGAGTTGAGTTGCTTCACTTGAAAGGTCTGTTGGGTTCCATAGAGCAAAACAGCTGACCCCTGGTATGAAAAGGGGGAGCTGGGAAGGGTAGGGGGATTGGCTTTCAGCCTGCAGAGGCTTGTAGATGGCCTGACATCTCTTTCCCACCTGCTCTTCCCTCTGGCTGCTCCCCTTGGGCCTGGGGCTGATTCATGGTGTGAGTGTCCCCTCCAGAAGCTGACTGAGAGCACTCTCGGGCCAAGAGTCCCACATGAGTCCAGACCTGCTGGGCTGCTCAGGTCCCCTCTGTGCCCAGCACCATCCCCGTACTGGGTGATTCTATCTACACCTGCCATCTTTGCTTAACTATCTCTCTTTAGCAACTGATTTTAAATTAATAAGAGTAGACTTTTGTCATGTCATTCTCTCAACAACAATAAAGCAGCTGATTTACTGGAAGTTTATTGTGCCAGGTACTGTGTTAAGATTATCTCATTCAATCCTCGTAGCATCTCTGTGACACGGGTTTCATAAGTACCTCCATGTTACTGATGAGAAAACTGATACCTAGAGAGCCCAAGTAAGTGGTCCAGGATCGCACAGCTACTAATGGTAAGTCTAGAATCCACACTCCGATGATCTCCTGAGGCCTGTGTTCTGAACCACAACACCACATGCCTCTGGCAGCCAAAGCTTTCAGGAGTTCACATTTGGGGATTAAAAAGTGCTCATCAAATTGTGTAATAATAAGACAAATAACCCAATTAAAAAAGGGCAAAGGATCTGGACAGACGCTTCACCAAAGAAGATATGTGAATGGCAAATAAGCACATTAATCATTAGGTAAATGCAACTTAAGACTGCAAAGAGATATCACTGGATACCCACAAGAATGGTTACAGTAAGACAAACTGACAACGCCAAATGTTGGGGAGCCTTCAGAGCAACTGGAGTGCTCATCCATTGTTAGAGGAAATGCTACGTGGTATGCCCACTTAGAAAAATATTTTGGCAGCCTCTCAAGTTAAACATACACCAACCAAATGACCTGACGAATCCCACTCTTTGGTATTTGCCCAGGAGAAATAAAAACATGTATCTACATAAAGACTTGTATGCAAATTTTTAGAGCAGCTTTCTTACTGGTAGCCCAGATCTAGAAACCCAAATGTCCATCAACTGGTGAGTGGATAAACGAACATGCTGTGTTATACACATATCACAGAATCCCACTCGGCAATAAAAAGGAGCAAACCAGGGCTACGTGCACGGCATGGATGAATTTTGACAGCTTTATGCCACGTGA